TCGTTATAGTTTGTCAGTAGCTCGATCGTGTGATCGCTCGCGCCGTTGTCGCAGAAGAGGGTGGTCCGGGTGTAGATCGAGGTAGTGTCTAGGTCGTGCCAGCAGAGTCTCGAGGTGTGCAGAAAAATAGTGATGTGGAATGAATAAGAATGATCCTAACTGTAGAATATCGTGTTCCGGATGCTGCAAAACCAAATTTGGGAAAAAACTTTAAGTTGGGAAAACTTTTTTTTCGGGTCAAATCCTAGAATTCCTTTGGACTGTATCTATACATAGTAGAGACTTCCAGGGTACTTATTAACGAAGGAATAGAGCTCCCATGCCATGCTGTATGAAGAGTAAAGGGGGATCAGTGATTTTGATGGTACTCGGAATATTCCGGTACTGGCAATACTTCAAGCTTGACTCTGACTGGGCTATATTTACTGGGTTAAAAGTGGGTTATGGCGCCCCTCAATTTTGGTTGTATCCATGTTGGGTTATATCAAAAAAAAAAAAAAAATGGTTTTGCAACATCCGGAACACGATAGTAGAACAATCAATAAGAGAGATATAACCAAAAACCCCGAGCCATCAAACTCTGCTGATGGCACTCGAATTTTGGCTACAAATTCGATCGTACGACGCGATGATAGGCCCTTAGGCCTTGTAGAACTGTGATTACACCCATATGGTATGTATTGATGCAGTATGGATGGAGTTTGGGACCCGAGCAGAAAAAAAAAAAAAAAAAAAGGTTTCTGAAAGAAAAAGAAGAAACCTTTTTTTCAGTTTCGCAACATCCGGAACACGATAGTGTGGGCGACCGAGCACCGCTTGTAATCGTTGGAGAATATGCAAGTGCTTGGCGGGGATTCGAATCCCTCAAGATCTTTGTGTGGTGTACAGGATTTTTTTTTTTCATTTTAATTTTTCGCTCAAGACTGTTGCCTGGTTTAGCGTTCGTTTCTGTGTTGATTCGCACGCAGATGAGTGCAGCATTTTGGGGGATAGTTGAAGTGCTCGGCGGGGCTCGAAGCCCTGGAGAAACTTCCTCCATTGACGATCAAAGCATTTTTTAGCCTTCACTTCTCCCTGTGGAAAACTGAGCCCATGTCTTCACTTTGAGTAAGTGACTATAATCCCCCAGGACCCTTGAGCGTTCAAGCTCTCTTGTTCTTTATTTTCTTTATTAACCTGGCCCATAAATGATCACAGAATGGGAGAAACGGTTCTGGAGGACACCGAGCATCACTGTGTCGTAAGTGCTCGGCGGTGATTCAATCCCCCATTTACTCATCCCAACCTGCTCCCTTTTTGTTGTTATTTTCACGCTCTGCTCGCCGATATTTGATCTTTTAATGAAACAGGCACCGGGTCAGGGGGGCGCCGATTACCGGCCATGAAAGTGTCGCATCGTCGCCAGTGCTCTGCAGGGGTTCGAATCCCTCAAGACCCTTCAACGTGTTGTTGATTTTTTCCACCGATTTTCTCGATACGCTCGTTGATACTCCGTGGTAGATTGAGATGGAAAACGGGTCTGTAGGACACCTAGTACCACTAATGTAGGTGACGTTCATGTGTATGCAAGTGCTCGGCGAGGATTCAAGTCCCTTAAAACCCTTCCCGGTCTCTGATCGCTTTTTATTGCCATATCCTCGCTCCGCTCGCCGATGGTTAGTCTTTGAATAAGACAGGGACCGGCTCTGTGGGTCGCCTGGCACCAGCCATAAGAACATGTTCATCGGCGCCAGTGCTCGGCGGGGGTTCGAGTCCCTCAAGACCCTTCCACGTGTTGTTGATTTTTTCCACCTATTTTCCCGCTACGCTCGGTGATAATCCGTTTTAAATTGAGAAGGAGAACGGGTCTGTAGGACAGCGAGTATCACTAATATGTGTAACATTTACGTGTATGTAAGTGCTCGGCGAGGGTTCAACTCCATTAAGACCCTTTCCGGTCTCTGAACATTTTTTATTGCCATATCCTCGCTCCACTCGCCGATGGTCAGGCTTTGGATGAGAAAGGGACCGGGTCTGTGGGACGCCGAGTACCAGTCATGCAGAAGTCCGCATCGTCGCCAGTGCTTGGCGAGGGTTCGAATCCCTCAAGACCCCTGTATCTTGGTGTTTCTTCCTTTTTCCATCGATTTTCTCGCTACGCTCGTTGATAATCTGTTGTAGATTGAGAAGGAGAGCGGGTCTGTAGGACTCTGAGCACCACTAATAGGGCGATAAAATCGAATCTCGTAAATGCTCGCCGAGGGTTCAATTCCCTCAAGATCCTTTCCAGCTTCCACCATCACTTTTTGTTGTCGTGTTCTCGCTCCGCTCGCAGATACTTGATCTTTAATGGACGAAGGGACCGGGTTTGTGGTTGAGTACCAGCCACGAGAAAGACCTCATGTTCACCAGTGCTCTTCGAGGGCTCGAATCCCTCAAGACCCTTGCACCTTCAAGTTGTTCATTTTTCCCGCGATTGTCTCGCTACCCTCGTTGATAGTCCGTTGTAGATTAAGACAGAGAGCCGGTCTGTTGGACACCCAGTACCACTAATAGGAAGGAAGATTGACATGTATTTCAAGTGCCCGGCGGGGGTTCAATTCCCTCAAGACCCTTCCCCACCAACTATGGTCCCTTTTTATTATCATTTTCTCACTCCGCTCGCCGATGGCTGGTCTTTGAAAGAGAAAGGAACCGGGTCTGTGGGACGCCGAGTACCAGCTATCAAGAAGACGAATTGTTGCCAGTGCTCGGCGAGGGTTCAAATCCCTTAAGACCCATGCCTTATCTTCTTGCTTGCTTTTTTTCTCCCAATTTTCTCGCAATGCTCGCTGATAGTGAATCATGAAATTGGGAGGAAAACGGGTCTATAGGACACCGAGCACCGCTAATGCAGAGAAGTGGAATGTGTTTTCGCAAGGGCTCGTCGAGGGTTCGATTCCCTCCAGACCCTTGGATCCTTAGCCTCTTCGTTTTGGTGTTGATCTTTTTCGCTCAGGCTGCGTTCTCTAATAATCTATTGTAAACTGAGAAGGAGGCCGGGTCTGTGGGTCACCGAGCGCCAGTGATAACAATGTACTGGGTCACGTGCCAGTGCTCGGCGAGGGTTCGAATCCCTGGAGACTCATAATGTAGCTATGAATCCGTTTTTTTCCCTCTGTGTGCATTTTTGCCTAATTGCTCAGAATAAATTGGAAAAAATATGTCTGGTCAAGAAACAAAAAGCAAAGTGGAGCAAATCTAATAAAGAGGGAATTTTGTAACTACTCTGAGTTTCTTTACGGATCGTGACTCTTATTTCGCGTTCTCGAAGGAGAGTCGCGGAGAATGGAACAAAAGGCAGAGACGAAGGCGTGATATCGGCCCCTGTGGAATAATGTAAAACACTGCCCTCTGCTTTGTCGATACATACGAGGGACGGACGTTCGACTCGTCCGCGGGCCATTCGTTCTGCTTCGGCCTTTTTACCCGCAATCTTCTCTCTGTTATGATTCTTCGTCTCTTGAATTCCGCGCTGAGGTTGAACATCAGTCCCGAATGTTCCCGAGTTGCGTCATCTTGTTGGTCACACGACCGCTTCTTCCCCATCACCGTGGCTAGATTTGGCCAGACTTGGTTCCTCGGCGTCTCCAGGCAACACCGGCGTCTAATCAATTCACTGTCGAGTGTGCTCAAATCTCGCAGTACCTCTAACCAAAATCCCAACTCGTTCTTGGCATCCCAATGGCGATCGATTACCCCGCACTTCCCCGCGTCAGCAGGTCTGGGGCATCAAATATGGGGTAACGCATCACGCTTCTTTCGTTACGCGGAACCGTAACGCCGGACGGCCAACAGCAATTAAATGAGTTCCGAATTCGGCCCCTGGGCCGGGAGCTATATAAACGCGGCCGGCCTGCTCCGCTTGACCCCATACTCCCACCACCCACCTCCCCCCTCACCTTATCGATCTCCCCTCGTCGTCTCGAATCCTCGAGGCGTCTACGTTCTTCTCTGCATACAGCACTCGTCCTCCGCACTCGAATCCCCGATGGCCGATACCGAGACCGCCCAAGCGCCCACGACGATCGAGCTCAACGATGCGCTGTTTTGCACCCACTTCAAGGAGGTCGTGAGTGTCGTGTTTCCCTTGCCTGTGTCCCCATCCTCGCCCATCTCCTCCATGAATACCTCGCCCTCATTGCGCCACGTAACCGTTACCCGTTACCTCATCGGATCTTATCGGTATCAGCGCCGAGCCTTCTTACCCTCGTTCTCCTTGCCCCTTCCCCGTCCTCCACACCACATCGATGCTTTCCCACTCCTTTAAGCAGCGACGCTAACCCACTTCCCAGTGCACCGAATGCAACTTCGACGGGCGCGAGGAGAACGACTCCTTCTTCGGGTTCGACCACCACGACCGGGACCCCATCGAGGCGCCGCCCGCGATCGTGAATAAGGACGGAGTGTATCAGTGCAAGAAGCATGCGTCGGCGGGTGAGTGGTCTGCCTCCTTCCCGCTTCTCCTCCCCCTTTCTCCGTCCACGCCGCTGTGCTATTCCCCATCCACATGCCCTTCCCTGTATCCAATATCCCCCACACCTTTACACGATTATTCGGATGCACACCCATGCTAACTAATACCTCCCTTCAGGCTGCAACCAGTGCTACGGCTGGAAGAAGCAGATCACGCGCGCGCGCACCGCCGCAAAGAAGGCTGGGCGGAAGTGAAGTAGTGTCGCTTAACGCTTAAACGTTGCCGTCGACGCTAACGCGATGTATCTGTGTACGCGGGACGGTCGGAGGATTTAGGGGCGCAGTGGATGGAAATGCGCGTTGGGGTGAAACAATGGAATGAATGTACCACTATTTACAGATAAATGAAATGAAATGCTTTGGATGGATCGCCCTGACTCGGACTGGACTCGAATGTGAATAGGAATCTGAGCGTGTCTGAGTCCGAGTCGGCGTACGCATGTCAGCAATTGTGCGAACGTCAATAAAAAGCATCAGAGTGGAAAAAGAAGAAATCCAGGAATCCACGTCCCCGAGCGGATTCGAACCGCCGTTTCCCGATTAAATCCCTGGTAGTTACGTACAATATGTGGGTGGTCTTCCAGCTATGTAACCTACGGGGACATACTCAAGTGATATTCATCATAACTAGAGCCTGGACCTTCAATTGTCCGCCGAGGAAACTGGATAGTCAGTCGGCTGCGCCTGCATGCTATGCGCTCGGTGTAACCTAGAACTTCAAAGGAATTTGCAAAAGCGGGCTGAGGCAATAAACTTTAAAAAAACTGCACATTGTCGAACCGCCATCTCCTGAGTACATCAGGTGTTATCCAACTCGCGGGCGGTCTTTCAGCTGACCTACGGGACGTGATGATGGGGGTTCGTCAGAGACGTGTTTAGCTATACCTGACCTGAAAATAGAAGGAAGGGGAAAAAAAAGACAGTAAACCTTCTTTTTCAAGTCCCCGGGCGGATTCGAACCGCCGTCTCCTCGACGCTTATTGCGTGACGTCCAAGATTTTACAGTGGGGCGAGGCGGTCTACAGGCTGACCTGCGGGGACGTGCTGAGATATAACTGAAAGTCGTAGAGGAACTCGAGTACATACATAGCTATGGAGGCGGAGAGGATATTGTGAGAGCTTCAAAGCGAGAAGTGTTGTTATTTATTTTCTTCCCACGGTTTGCCGTACCCCGAACTTCCCCGATGTTCTCCCCGATTCTATTTACTCAGCTCTTACTCAGCTTCCCTCTATTCTTTCCAGTTGTAGTACATTCTAGATAATATTTGTACAGTATATAAGCTCTCTGTACAACCCCCCAATATTCATTCAGATTTTATTCTCTCTCTCAGCGCAATCTTCACAATAAGAAGTTTGGATTGAAAACCCAAAAAATCATAGAGGGAGCGCTGCATTGTGTGACATCCATATATTTGCAACGGCGGCCTCCCACGAAACAGGCTGACAAGCAAAAAAAAGAAAATGCTCGCGAACGTTTGAAGTCCCCGGGCAGATTCAAACCGCCGTCCTCGTTTCGTTTACCGATGACTGTACGACGCAGCTCAATGGTTGCGAGGCGGTCGGCCGACTGACCTGCGGGGACGTGCTGAGTGAAGGGAATTTCTCTTGTAGTTCCGTACCTAGGTTCTGCACCTGGAATATATTTCGCATTGAGGTGCAAGTGACAATCGTTCAGCGAGCTATGGTCAGGGTGAGAATGCTGTGAAACCTCAAAAAATAAGAGGGATTGAGGCTGGCCGTCAGGGTGCCATTCGGACCAACTTGCCGTCAGCGCGAAATTGAAGCAGGTAAACCAAAAAAAAAAAAAAAAAAAAAAAAAAAAGAAAAGGCTACACAGCGTGGCTGTAAGTCCCCGGGCGGAGTCGAAACGCCATCTCCTCGTAGCTTATTATAATACTACCGTGGTTATAAAATGGTGCGAGGCGGTCTGTACACTGACCTACGGGGACGCGTTGAGTGAAGAAGGAATCCTTCCCTAGTTATGATGTATTTCGCATGGAGATCCGTTCAAGTCACTAGCTACGAACCTGGCCGCGGCGTTCAGACATTGTGGTATGTTCAACGGCCGGAAGAAGTGATCTCCTGCTGTGTGTAATTCCAGCTCCGACGCGCGCGACTCGAAAATTCTTTTTTTACAAAAAAACAGACCCCATATGGGCGCACTTACCATGTAGCACTCGATTGGCGGAAGTCAAAGTCTGCATCAGGACTCAGTTGCTGGAACAAACAAGGAGGTGATCGACTAACTTTTTCGTAGAGCGCATTAAACAAGAATATTAATGATTCTTAATACATGAACCGTAGTTTCGAATGATTAAAGGATATACCTATGTAACGATACGTACCCTGCCGCCCGGTTGAAATTCACGCCCCAAGGGGGGTCGGCTTTCGCAAATCGGACATGGGGTCGAAAAGTTTTTTTCGACCTTGAGCTGACCCCCCCTCTCCTTCCCCACCCCTGGCGGCGGGCCGTGCTTTCCGATTTCATCCAATGCTGTTTTGGCGGCTACTATTGACTGGTCCTCAACCTACTTCTACGCTGGTCTCTGGCGCTTCCCACCCCACCGACCGCATGAATCTCACACCCAGTTCTTCAGCACCTCCCAAAGCCAAGCCTACGATATGAAACTACCGCGCCGTTGGCTTAATGGACACAGGTGACAAGATCAACACCCTAAAACGGCTGTAATATAGATAAATTGACCCAAAGTGTTACTGTCGTACAGCTGTTTCTGTTTTTTATTCCCTCCTTTTGCCACTGCGAGCAGGTGGATGCGACTTAACATGGTGCTGATCCCTGTGATCCGACTTCCCAATCTGGCTTGGCGGTCTAATTTGATGCGGGGACCGTCGACGAACCCTCTGTTTTCCACTCAATGCAAGTTAAACTATTCCAAATGCAATTTTGAAGCCTTCTGGAGCTCTTTCATAACTTGGCCAAGATTTTTTTCTCAGCCCTCCTCGAGACCCCCCCCTCCCACCCCGTATCCGAAATTTTAATGCCGACCCCCCCTTGTCAGGCCCGACGCTTGAGCCCTGGGTCAAGTCATTGATTCCTGGCTTGGGCTTGAGGGCCATTGCATACGCATAGCAGAACGAGTTTTTTTCTTGTTTAACGTTTAAATAGTCAGCAATAACATAGTACCAACCGCAGAATTATTGACGCGTGTTCACTTCACTCAACTTTCTTCTCCCCACATTAATCTTTTCGTCCAGGAATCGAATGTTCATGCAATTGGATCCGTGGTAATCCCGTCGAATGTATGCGCAGAGTATGCTCGGGCACAGCCTATCTTTTTCGTTCACTTATTGCAGTGCGGCCTCGTCTGCAATGCTCTGCATCGACATTGACGAGATGTAATGTTGACAGGCACTTCCATTACACCTGGCGCATCTTTTCAGAAACTTTCAGAGTCCGCTAGAAGGAAGGCATGGACCGAGAACGCCTGCGTGAGCTCTAAAGTGGACAACAACGTGCATTGAAAGGTCAGTGTGCGTCTGGGAATCTGGTGCCGCGCTAAGGGTTATCTTTTCAGAAAGCTTCGCTGTACAGACGGCAAGTCTAGATCGTGTGTGAACGCACGGGCGGTAAGGGGGTATTTTACGTACAAGTAGCCGCATATTGTGCGCGAGCTCTTGCGGATCGCATTTCAGATTAGCTTCCTCCGACATAGGCTCTTATAATCAGACCCTTCAGCAAATACAGCTCTTATCCGTCCTCAAAAAATTGTAAAAATTATGTACACTAAGTGGACAAAAGAAATGTCACATACCTTTTCTGCAATTCCCGAGGCACCAGTCCATATTTCTGCCCAAACTCAAGTATAAGGTTCTTTAGTAAGTCGAGCCTGACCTATCTCTGCTATTGATGGCATCAAGTGATGTTGATGCGCTATCATAATGGCCCAAAGAAGATATCCCGCATTTTTCAACTCGTGGAGTAATTTTTTTGAGAACATTCTGAATCAGCCAAATCATAGTCCAAGGTGTGGGCATTGATTTACCAACTTAAATTGTGCGAAAATATACAGGCGATAAAGAGCTACAGCGCCGAGAAAACCGTGATTTTGGCACTTTTTGGCTGTTTTGCGCCAAAATGCCCACTTTGTAGGCGCCATAGCTCATTATGGTCTATATATTTTTGCATGATTTAAACTGTGCGACTGATTAGTGCACCTCAACACTCAATTTGGGTGACTCAAAATGTCCTGAAAAAAATCACTGCTGTGGTTGAGAAATTGCAGATTTCACGTTTTTGACCATCACGATCGCCCATCAGTATATTCTGATCGCATCAATGACTTAGAATATCGGCATCGACTTCCTCACCACCCACATACTTGAGTTTGGCCAGAAATCTGGACTGGTGCCCTGGGAGTCAAGTAAAAGGTATGTGACATTTCTTTTGTCCACTTAGTGTAAACAAAGGTTACCAAGACACACCGACATCAGGAAAAACGGTTTTGCTACATAGACAAAATCAGAAAATATAGATTACCTGTAACCCTCGTAGCCTCCTGCTGTGGCTCAGTAGTCCTCCGTAGCCCTCGTAGCCGTACGCCAAGTATCAGTAGCGGTTGATAGCCGACAGCAACGGATCAGTAGCATGATATTTTGGGGATTCAGGAACCACCCTTGCCTTGCCTTCCCAGTACTATGTATGATGTCCTGAGCATGAGGCGACGACATCTCGCGAACACTAACCTTGTTCGGAACAAGGTCAATGCGCCCTGTAAGTAGATTGAAATGAAGTCCGCCTAAGATACGATGTAATTTCAACCTTGGAATACGTATGATTGGAGGACCGCATGGTCGGTGTTCCGCCGTAGCCCTCTCTTTGCCCGCGCGATAAGCCGGGCGAAAGGGGGAAACGAGAAGAAGCTCGAGAGACCTATTTAAGTCACGTATTATGTCACCTCCCATTGTACATCCTATAAGTAGTGAGGGCTTAATGAACGATGAGCCCCATCCTCTCTACATTGAACAGATATGTCTCTCGCCGATGTCACCTGTAACATCCTCGTAAGAGGCGCCGATGGGACCGAGTACGGGTACATCAGCCCCGTGCTCAACGCTGACGGCTTTTATGCGAACTTTCAGTCGGCTCAGGCGGGCGCCCTCGCTGTTTCATTCTCATACTCGGCAACCGCGTGCAGTCGGCTCAACTTGCAAGTATCAAACGGCCCCAGCGCGTTCCCATTTCTCGGTGGCAGTGAGCACCTATTTCGTATGATTTTGCGGCCTGACACTGACGATGTCGCCGCGTTAGTTTGCGTTGGGAACGAGCGCCTTGTACTCTGCCGGGACAATGACACGTGCGTCTTTCAGTTCAGTACTCAAATATCCAGGCTTATCGCGCGCTAGAGATGTCCCGCTCGGTCTTACATGCGCCACGCCGCCGTCCGGAACACCGCGCGTCTTCAGCGAGGAGAACTCGCACAGCGCGGTCGGCCCTGCGGGCAAACGCGAGCTGTGGTACCTCGAGAGCTCTATCTGGCGCTACAACCCGGCGACGAAAGCTCTCACTGCGCAGTGGATCAACCCTCAGAAGGATGACGAACAGTGGATCAACCCTCAGAATGTTGACGAGCCTGAGACGACCA